TGTTTGGCTTTGCTGGAACAGATAAAGTTGAGGTAATATAGAGGGGAAAGGCGAGCAGAAATTATGGAGAAAGCAAGGAGAAATTAGGGAAGAAGAAGTGAGTATAAGGGCGGTAAAAAATGCTGTCGCTGCCGAAATATTCCGAAGCAAATGTTACGCATACTCAGCATAAATCTGTCCATACACAAACATTATTTTTGGCAAATCCCAACATTCGGAGAAAATCAGTTGGGGGAATTATGGGTAACAATTTGGGCCACAGGTGCTGAGTCTCTGAGCCCGGGCATTCCATTTTACCCACAATTAAACGCATTCTCCACGCAAACCAACTAAAAGGCAGGTTTTCTCATTTTTCCTAGAAAAACAGATGACGTTTAGTTGGGGAAAAAATGGGGGAAGAGTAGGATAAAATAAGTAGCCATGTGGTTGGAATCTATAAAAATTATTTTAGATCAACAAGTTTTTTTTGAATTTTTTTTTGTGCTTTATAAATACAGATAACTTTTTGAATAATAATGTTACAAAAAATATCAAACTAATTTTACGTAAATATAATTTATTTTATTTACATAAACCACATGTACTTTTTATTTGTTAGGAAAACAAATTTTTTGTGCTTTATAAATACAGATTACTTTTTGAATGTTATTGTAATTTCATGTCATTTTGCATTTAAAATAAATTCTAAAATTCTACGGCTTATAACTGAACAGCGAGTGTAAACTAATTAAAATGTAATGGCATCAAAGTGAATATTTCATCATTGTTGAATGATTCAATGCCAAAGAGCTGATAGACTTTTCATCGAAACGCATCCACGCTTCATTAGCTCCATTTGCATTGATGAAAATGGCCCGAAAACTTTTAGTTTCGCAGCCGGAAATTTCCACACAAAACACACTTAAACAGTAGGACCGGAGGGGAAGTCCTTATATATCCTGAAAGGATCCACATCCAGAGGGTGTGTGTGTGTGTGTTTTTGGGGGACGCCCAGTCAATTTTGCGACTGCCACTTGTCGTCCTTCAATTGTATGAGTATCCCCAGGATTTTTCCTGCCGGGATTTTAGCCTCGAGTTTTAGGACCGGAATTTTCCTTACCGCATTTTCCGCCTCCTCCCTCCCTCCCTCTTTTTGTGCTGACATCGTCTAATTTCAATTTATTTAGCCTTCCAATGACAACGCACAAAATGCACTCGAGTCCTTTGGAGCCTTGGAGTGTCTGGCTAATTTCGATGTCCTCAGTTGCCCTCAGTTTTCCATTTTCCATTTCCATCCGCCCCTCCTTGAAAAGTCAGCACTTTTCCGCCCGGCATTCAAAGATTTTCCTTTTCGGCAGCCTGGCAACCGAAAATCAACAAGTGAAAATGCAAATGTGATTATTTATTAAGCGCTTTAAAGATTTTTCCTTTTTATTTTTGTATTCTTATTATTCTGCCCGTATTTCATTCGATGGTGTTCTCCATCAACAGGTAAACAATTTGCCTTGCTTTTTTCTTGTTTGGTCTGTGTGTCGCCTTCGAAATTCGTGGGAAAATTCAAGGGGGAAAATTTTAGACGCGATTGCCTAGTCTTTGTTTTCCCTGGCTATTTTCATTCTCTTCTACATTTTCTTTGGGGTAATTGCACATAAGACTGCCTTCTTGATTAAACGTCAATGGGATTAAAGTATTCGTTATGGTTTTCCCTGTCTTCGCCTTCCCTGGCTTTTCCTCTGCTGTTGTTGTGCATAATTTTGGCTTCGAAAGGTGAACAAAAGATGGAGGAAATTAATAGCAGGGAAAATTTAGCCAATTTAAAGTTACTTTTTATACCCTGAAATTTCATGGAAATCTATTGTGTTCTATTTTATTCTATTCCCTTTTTTTATTTATTTATTTATTATAATTTAACTTTATACATTTTATTTATAACATATTCATTTGTTATCCAGAATTGTCAGCTGGAAATCTTAATTTATGGGTCACACTACGTGTGAAACTGTCTCTAATTAAATTAATAAAATTGTTTCAAGTGTGGGGATTACCCCAAAAATGTAGAGTGTGTAAAACTGGGGGCGGAAAAGCTTCCTTTTCCCAGGGGTGAAATCCTTAATGAGCCTTTGCCTTTGCCTTTCCATTCTCCATTTTGTCCCCTGTCCCTCAACAGTTGCTCGGCTTCTGTTCCTACGGCATGCAAATTAATTTAAAACAATTTCTTTTCTGGTTTCTGGCCCTGGCAAACTAATAAAGTATACAAAATATTCAACACCATTCCCGCACATTCTGCGCTTTTAAACAGCGCTGGCAGAGACACTAGAAACGATGAGTATTGGAAAAATATTATATCGAGCTTATTGAGACTTATCTTTTTTTATTAAAGGTATATATTTTTTTCAAAAATTTAAACGAGTATATTGCTTGGGCAGGTTTTTACTGTAGAAATAAGAAAATTTACCTAGTTAGTATGAAGAAAATGGCGAGGCTTTGAAATTAATTTTTACGGCGTCTAAAAGTATCGAACAATATTTTTAGTGATTTCTGTGGCTTCCATTTGGCTTTGAAAAATATAAATTAAAATTAGTTATACATTTTCCGCTTTTAGAATTTGATTTTAAAATATATATTTATTTTTTAAATATGCCAACTTTACTCCTATTATTAATATTATGGGCCCTTCTGTAGGCGAGTGTGTATGCCACGCACGAAATAAGCATCATTAGGCGCTTGGCAGGCGCGCCTTAAAAAGGAGGAGTGGCCAGGTTGAAGATGATTTTCCAAACCCAAAAAAATAAAGAAAAAATATAATGTTTGCCACTGCATTCGGTGAAAATGGGCGACAGCTGGAAGATGCCTTGAGGGCATTTTCATTTTACACACACACACACTCACACAAACCGGGCTCAAGTTACTAAAGTGCGCAGGAAAATCGGTAAAAAGCGGAGAAATCTCTGGGAAAGGTGGTCCTTTCACAAGAGCAAAAGCGTGTCGAGCCCAGCAAAAAAAAAAAAAAAAAAAAAACCCAAAAAAAGTGCGTCAAGGTGTTCGGGAAAGGCATTAGAGAGACGGAGAAAGTCGGAGGGAAAAATGTGATGCACGGGAGCCTTTTTACGTGTAAAAAGGAACCTTTGTCGAGCTTTTTTCGGGCTCCTTTCGTTGCCTTTCGGTACCTTTCAAAATTGCGTATTGGCAGCTTCTTTAGCTTAAATGAAATGAAACGCAAAAATGAAGATGGATCGCATAACAGGCCCAACAACAACGCTAAATGGCAGTGTAAAGTGTTGATAATGGAGTGGGGGACTGGGAAAGAGGAAATTAGGCGGACAGGGAATCCTTGAGGAAAAGACAAACCAGTCGATTAATTTTCAACGCAGAGGTGCTTGATACTTTCTTAAATATTTAATAGCAAAAACCAATAAATTTAGAATTATTTAAGATTTTTATTTCTCATTAGGAATATCCAATATTTTATAAAATATACCCATATTCAAAATAAGTATACTTACAATTATACCCGAGCTAAATTCTCTTGGCTTTGATCTCTTACTTACTTGTGAATAATGTATACGCTATAATATATAATTGTTTGCATATTTGGTATTCTAATGTCCGTTTTTCTCCGTTTCATTGACAGGTATGTTTATTTTTACACTCGGCCATCCAATTAGGTGTGACAAAACGTATGTATCTCATGTGTACAAGGTACACTCATATATGTAGCATTTGGTATTTACCCAAAGTCCTAGCCAAATCCCCCGTCAACGTCGTGTGTTAAACAAATTGGCATTAGTTTAATTGCCAGTAAGCGGGTAACTACTTACGTGGCCAAGTGGGTTGTTCCACAAGCGAATCGAACGGCGGCAAATTATGGCTTATAAAGTTCGGAATGAAATTATAGCTATTGAATTAACTAATTGCATTTGCCGTGGCTTCCGAAAGGGGTTACATGCCGTAACACAGGACATTCAGGACAGGACACTCGAGATGCCCCAGATACCCCCCGTCCCTTCCGTTAATCAAGTATAATCAATGGCTTTGTCCCCCGCTCTTAAGGATGATTACATATTCTGTGGACGGCGGTCAATGAATGTTTGCGAATAGTCCTGCCTACGGTACTTCAAATTTTAATTAATTAATTAGCTAATTTTGAGGCAGCTAAAGCAGAATTTAATCGAATTTAAAGCGGTACATTGTTTAAATCCAAATATTTCAAGTTTTAATGTTTAAATATTACACATTATATTTTATAACAGGCATTACTTTTTAAATGACTTACTTTAAATAAATATTTAAATTGCTTCTTAAAATATTTTTAAAATTCCTAAAAAACCAAAAAAAATAAAATGATATCATCACTTTTCGCGCAAACATTTAAATTCCCCTTTGGAAGATTGCTGCTACTTTATGACGTTTAATATTTCCCCCTCCTGCGCTCCACCACGAGCCCCATTATCCCAGTCCTTCGTATTAGCCTTGTGGTAGTCCTTTTAATGCGCTTAACATCTCCTGAGCATCCTGAGCTGCTGTTCTTTGAGCACACGATTGTGTGTGCCCGATTGTGGTTGGGATCTGGGCGAGTGAAGTACCCTTAGACGCCAGTAAATACACTAGGGGAAATTTACATAATTTGCCAGAACCCATCAAAATATTTACATTGCTGTGAAAAGGGGTAAAACTCAAGTGTATACATATTCTTGGATAATACTAAACATTTAATTGTGCTATAATATATTATAAAATATAAATAAATATGTTTGAATATTTAATTTAGCTTTAAAATGAGATTAAAATTATCTAATTTATAAACAGATTACCTTAAATTTATAGGCAAGGCCTCAACATGTGTATAATAACTTTATAATTAGCACACTAACATTGTTTTTGTTTTTAAATATTTTTTCAAGGTCACACATTAATATATTTATTTTTCTAGAATAACTTAAAATTTTTAACATTTTTCTGCGTGTAAACAGAGGTACTACACATATATTTAGCTGATTCTCGCACATGCATTGGGGGCGTTGTTAATGATGCGCAGTTCGCACTCCAATCTTCAGTTCGGGATTGAACATAGACCTGGAATAAAAAAGTGGCTAGAAAGGCGGAGAAATAATGGCATAGCTCGGGGGCAGATGTAAGGGAAGCCCCCTTGAAAACCGGCGAAAATGGAGCGCTCTTAAGCCTTTGCCATGGCAATTTGTTTTGCAACAGTTGAACAAATTGTATGCTGTAAACCAGCACGGCACAAAAAATTTAATATAAAATCTAAACTTCTTATAAAATTTAAGGAATTAAAAAAAAAACAATTTCTACTTCAAATATGCATGTCTGAAAATGTTGTTGAGTACAAAACATTATTAAAAATTTTCTGGATTTCTATAAAAAATAAACGAATTTTCCTTTAATTTTTCCAAAAAAAATTTAAAATTTTTTTGCAGTATTTCAAATAGTTTTAAATTTTCATTTAGACTGATAAAATTTTATTATAAACTCAAGGAGGTAATAAGTATTTTTGGCAAGTGTTATTATACCGCAGCCCCCATATCAACGCATCGAATCTGTGTCTATATATTTTGTGGCCCAAGGATATTTCGTTTAACTTTTTCTGATTGAAATATTCCATTCTATAAACGAGATGTGTGTTTGCCTTGGCCAAAGTTACATACCCGCTCGTTTCTAATGGTAAGCTGCAATTTATAACAATTTAATTTACACATAACTCTGCACTAAGCCCCAACTAAGCTACAAAATGTGCATCTTCATCCAGCCGAGTGTCAACAAGGGGTTAAGGGGTTTTCGGGGGGTTAAGGGGACGGCCTAATAGGAGGGCGAAAAATATTTTGCAATTGCAATTTGAAATGTTTAGCTTGTGGGGAAGCGGGGCGACGGCTGCCGGGGGACGTAATAAAATTTATATGCAATCTCGCAATAAAATGAAAATTTGTAGAAAAATGGAAATTCATAGAGAAACGAGCTAAATGGATGACAACGAGTGCTGATTGTTGTTCAAGTGTTTTTCCCACACACACATTTATTTATATGTACACCATTTAAATGGGAACACTCTCAAATTGAAACTGTCCAGAAATAATAAACAGAAAGTTGGTGTGAATTAAAATAATTAAGTGCCTTGAAACTTTTCGCTATAATTTGTTTTTTAATGGTGTCGAACCATTAAATTAAACATAATTACATTGTAAACAGGCAGCAATCATTAGGTATTTAAAAATAATATAGAAAGATTTTTATTTTATTATTCTATTAAAATAAATATATAATATACAAATAAGGTAAAAGTGATATTTATATTGGTTTCATAAAAAATGTGTAAAAACTTTGTAAATAAATACTTGGCATCGTATATCAATCACTAGACTCAATTTATGATCCCTCCATCATCAAAGTCTTAATTCGTCAATCAGTGAATTTGTTAATTGAACTTCTACTAAAACTGTTGGCTAAACGAATAAAATAAAATGATGTGCGAAGTAAATTTCCATTAGGCGGTGGAAAATGGGCCTCATATAAATCAGTATAATTTACAACTGTTTTTGGAGAATTCTCAAATATTTATGGAGGTGGCCGATTATAGCATTTCAAAATATACACACAAACAAATTAATCGTAAATCTTGGCCATTACCCCGATATTTTCTTTTCGTTTTGCCCTTGTCCGATTTGCATTTCCCTTGGGCATAAATTTCGAATTTCCATTTCTTCTTCTTTGATCATTTCGTTTCAACACGAATTAGCATTTGGCAACTTAATTAAAAAGATTCTTTTTTTCGGTTTTGTTCAGTTTCTCTTTATTCATAATTTTTGGGGACACTCGTGCAACAAGTTGACGGCTGCCGGTGACGCACAACAGAAATTTATGATTGCCACAAAAACGAGAAACCGAATTTAAGAAATTATGAATTTTATTTATCCTCTTTTCTATTTTTTTCTTTTTTTTTTGGTTTTTTAAGTTTTTTTGGCTGGGGGAATTTATTGGAAAAATGTAAATGAAACATAAATATCAAATAGTTGACATGTGTGTTGGTCTTTAGTTTTTCATTTGCCATCTCTGTATTTTCCTTTGCCCGATTTTCTTGAGGGTTTTTCACCCTTAAACCATTTTCAATTGCATCGTTAAGAGCTTTGAGGTCATGCGCTGCTTAGCCTTTCGCTATATGGCTGAGATGCCATATGTATTTATATATAAACGTAAATGTATGTTAGTATTAGTTTAGAGACAGCAAGCATTTAATAATGAACAAAAAATAGTTAAAACTGACAAAAATATAATAAAATATTAGTTTTTAAATTCATAAGACTTTCTACTGATCAGAAATAAATAATTATAAAAATTTAAATCATAGAGAAAAAAATATATTTTTTATCACTTATTCAGGTGTCTAAAAGTATGCAACAATATATTCCGAACCCCGAATTTCTGAGATACTTAGATAATTTTTCACTCCATACTTTTAGACACCTTTCTACGGATTTTCAAAAACCCAGATATTTTAACTAATATTTCATTTGTGGGCTGTTTGCCATCTCTAATGCCAATATATGCACCCGCAAGATAGTTTTCGCATACATTTTTTTTCTGCGGCGGGCTGACAGAGTGGAAGCCAAGTTAAAATGCAATTGAAAAGCCATTTAAGAAACTCACTGAAAGGGAAAAAGAGTGCCTTTGGGGAAGTTTAAGGGCAGATATCCAAATGGTTTTCTTGGCCATATGCAGAGGAGCATAAAAGCCAGATAAAAAGGGGCTATTAGGATTAGGCCAAGAAAATGGCAGGCAGACGACGACTCTTTTAAAGAGCGAGGAGTAAGGAAGGGGGTAAATTCGATTTAGGGGCTTTATGGCAGATCTGCAACTGTTTTAATGGCACTTTATCGTTAGATCCACTCCAGCCATTTGCCATTACGTCCGGGTTTACGTTCACTGCATAGTCAAGCTGATTAATCAACTCAATGCTCTCACGGCTAATTGATTCTGTGCCCGTATGATTCATCATGAGTTAATTGCCAGAGATACCTGAGCCACTTCGAGTGCCGGCCAATTGCAAATTAATTTCTGGGCATTTCGGGTGAAAATTGCTTTGAAGCAGGCGTAGATTAACTCCAAAAATAAATATAGAAGAACTGAAGAGTAATGGTTGGAAACGAAAATTTATTGTTATCTTTAAGAAACAATAAATAGCTTTTACTTACTTTTCTTACTACTTACTACTACTACTTACTACTTTTCTTATATTTTAAATGTTATTTACTTAATGTTTCCTTTGGTTTATCCAAATAATAATATGATTTATTTGATTTTTTATTAATAAATAATGGCCTTTGTTAATTCAATTCCTCAGAAAGGTGTCCAAAAATAGGCAGTGAAAAAATATCTTAGTATCACAGAAATCCCGGGTTCAGATTATTTTGTTGCATACTTTTAGTCACCTTGGATAAATCGTAATAAATAATAATAATAAATGAGCTCAGGAATTTTAGGAATAATATTTTATTTTAGAATATATGTTTTCTTTTTGTCCAATATTCCTTTTGCTACCCTTTTTGAGTCTTATCTCTTAATTTGGATCGATTGTTCCAACTCCGATTCCCAACTGGGGACTCTTCGGCTTCGAAACTGCCAATCTAGATAATCCTTTCAGCTGTTTAATTTACCAATTGCAACTGGATAATGACATATCCTGTCCATATGCTGAGTCCCGCCACTCCATCATCCTGGCTGCCTGAGTCCGTGCAATTCCATTGGGAGTCGGCTTTAATGCATTTAAGTATCATGCAACGGGGGCCCCCAATGCAATTAGACAAAAGCCAACTGCAAATGCAAATGCAGCAACAACAACTTGATTAGCCACTACAACTATTGCAAAACAATAACAATAACAATAACATTGTCCTGCTTCCATGCATGAATTTATATGTATACAAATATATACATATCCGCAACACGCGAGCACTTGAAATGCTTTTCATAACTAAGCAGCCTGTAATGTGACATCATAACTTATGATTCACAACCATGGAAAGTTGTTCAACTAATGTCCCTTTACTGGCCACAAGCTGTTGTGTTTAAATTAACAGTCGTGAAGACAGAATATACTGGCTTTTAAGTCGAGCTTTTAAATATATCGTATGCGATAATACATTCAAATAGGCAAGGTAACAAAGCGAAAATTTCAAACAAATTTGGAGCTTTAATGATTTTTTCTAAATAATTAGTTTATACTCCTTTTAACTAAAGGAATACTGAATTTTTTAGGGCGAAAAAAAGGACTAGGACTTTTTTTAATGTCAAATAACAATTTCCATTACTGCAGGAGATTTTTTTTTAATTTTAAACTTAAACTTTTTTAAAAGTATAGAAATGTCCTTGTGACTCAATTAAGCTTTGAATACCTATTTTTTTCAACCAAGTTTTAATTGAATTAATATAAAACACCGTCTGTAATTTAATTTGAACCGGTTTTGCTTCACCGAAAAAAATGATCAAAGAAACTAAACTATTCGTACATTAATTCTAAACTATTGAGATGACTATTTGAAAGCGTAATACATCTTTTGGCAAAAAATGTTAACTGCAAACTAAACATTTTATGTTATTTATCAGGGAACGTAACTGTTATAAGTTTTATTTTAAAAATCACACTTTAACAGGTTTTTTCTGATTTGTAGTAAAACTCAAAGAATAACTGTTATTTTTTGAGTTTTATAATAAAAGTTGACAAATAACAGTTATTCGTCGTGATCAAAAATAAAACTCAAACTTGATTTATGGCGATTTTGTGGGTAAACAAAATTTTAAAAAAATATAGGTATAAAATATGCGCGGTTGCCTTTTTAACAAATTTTTAGTAAGTTATAAAAAGCACGGGTATCATGTTTTTTTTAATTATTTCGTTTTTTCAAAAATGTCAAGGGAATAACTGTTATTCATAAAAATCAAAAAATAACAGTTATTTTTTGAGTTTTATTATAAAAATCAAAAAATAAAAATCATTACGGATTTGTAAACTACAATGGCTAATAAAAATTGTGGTGTATTTACAAAATTTTTAGGACCCTTCTAAGTGCGTGATTTTTTTGTATGAAAAATTTACAATAACAGTTATTTTCGTTCCCTGTTATTTATTATTAATTCAATACTAAACTTATATACTACACACCTAGTAAACCATGTTTTTTTTGTTTTTTTTTTAATGTGAGTTTTAATTTTTCCTTCCATATGGTAGACATTTTTTTTAAAACGAACAACGGATAAACAAACTGAATTGAATGGCGATCAATTGGCGATTGCATTATACTTTTCACCGCTTTAATCTCTGAAGTGGGCAAATGTTTGCCGAACGCTTGGAAAAGCCTGCTGGTTTTTCCACCAACTGCTGCACTTTAGACAATAATCACTGTAAATGCTATTTGCTCAAGTGCTCGATTCGATTTTGGGCTTTAAATACCTTTGTTTGGGTTCGAGGGCCAGAAATTTAACGCTGAAACCACAAAAACGAGTCTCAGCCACATGTGGGCCCGAAAGGCCCGAAAGGCTTGCCGTGCCCCTTTATCCTTTACCCTTCTTAGCCGAACAAATATTTGGCCCGAATGCAAACAAAATTCGAGCAACAGCAGCTGGCAAGTAAATTATTGTCATCTGCATGTGCAATTGGGCCAGCTTTTATGGCTGATAACAGAAATGCTATCTCAGTTTCATGCGAGTATGAAATGCTGTTTGTCCCCGAGCTCCGGGTTAGAAATTGTGCTGTGGGGGTGCTCTGTATTTACCCTGTATTTACCTATATTAAATCAATTCCCAGGGTGGCACCACACACAAATAAACATTTTAAATCAAACAAATACTCAAGCATTTGCGGCATAATTGTGGAAATTACATTTGATGTTTTCAATGGAAAACTTTGCTTTATACTTTTATTTACACTAAATTGATTTTGAAATAAATTATTTGATTCCATATTTATACGCGTACCTTATCTTACACTTTTATTCATAAATTTAAACTAAGTATTTTTTAGGGAAGTTAAATTAATGACTTTTTTATTATTTTGTTACGTGCAATTAGTGAAAGCTTAGTTTTTTAAAAACACTCTTTTACACTCTATTGGGAATGTAATACATTAAATTCCTCCAGTGGTGCCAAGCTTAAAATGGACAGTTAATTGTCTTTTCTGTCCGCAGACACGCCTCAAGTTGTACTCGATTTTTCTGCACCCCTTGAATCGTGCTGGGAATACGTTAAACTAAAATGGAAAAAAGTGAGTTAAAATGCTGGGAAAGCGGGGGAAAAACGCGATGTGCGACACGCATAAATTGCCATGAGCATGTTGCTGGTTGGTGGCGGTGGGGAAAACACAATTTTCCTATTACTGAAAAGGATTTTGTTGCAATTAGAAAATGCACTCTGCCAAAGGGCGGGCGAACCTGCATGATTGCATAGCATTGTTGGATGGGAAAAATAACAGAGAACTAAAAATATGGCGCTGAATTTTTCATACATTTCACGTTATTGGTTTCGGTTGCCAACTCCGCCTTAATGAAGCGTATTAGGGAGCAAATTAAGCAATTAAATATTCATGAAGACCGGTCTCTATGCATAATTTAGCCAATGCAAATTCATAACTGCAATTTGGCCAAAGCATCGAAACTTTGCAATTGTTTTGTTTGCCTTTTTTTCGGCTAAACTGTCAAAAGCACAGCGGCAATAATATAAATTGTAAATATGATTTAAAATGCAGAGTTTGATAGTTTGTGTGTGTGCGAAAATTGTGCAGAAGCTGGATATTTAATTCGAATTTATCCCACTTTGTATTGAATTTATACCAATGTGCTAAGTTTATTAAGTAATCAAATTTCATATTCCAAAATAAACATGATTTAAGCCAATAATACGACTGTGTCAATTATTTAAAAATAAATATTTTCAAGCGAGCTTAAAAATATTAAAAGCGAGTTATTAGCTTTCTAAATATTTATCCTAACGTTAATTAAAAAGTGGCAACTTTATTTCACTCAAAATTGAAATTCTTGCCCGACCATCAATGAATTATCGTGCGCCCAATTTTCTTTTTATGCCTGAGCTAAAATTAAGGCCACATAACTCGCATATGGCCTCATAAAAAAAGCTGGCAAATAATAAAAAATGAAAAACACTTTTCCTTCGTCACCTGCAAGAGCATAAAAGCCAAGACAAAAACATAAATCAAAAGCGCTGACCAAGCCAAAAAAAAATTGGAAAAAAATCAAGAGAAAATTACAGCGAGCAAACGAATAATTCAAATCGGAAAGCATTAATTAAGCCATAACAATAATGACACCAAAACATCAACGAGATTAATATGCGTAATTTGCCAAACCGAAAACTGCGCCAAAGACACAAAAATAAACATTGGGAAATAATTCGCGAGATTTTTTCACCAGCTATTTCTTTGTCAGTTTCTCCTTGACTCTTGTTAAAATGTGTTTACAAAAATATTTATTACTCATTGCGACGAACAGTTAATTAAATGTTCTGAAAAAATATTACTTTCGGGGCCAGGGACAAAAATAGTTAAAACAAAAAGGAAATAAAGAGATAAAAACCATTAAAAGGGGCACCCCCTATTCTCAATAATTGCCGGCAATTTGTGCCAGAATAAAAACGAATAGAGAAATCATCGGAAATTATTGCTCTATTAATATTTCGACAGACGCTCATTGTCCGCCGTTTTCCATATGCTCTTTAAAATTCATCAAGATTTTATTATTTCTGAAGCCCACAAAACTCAATTGAAATATTTGCTTTGACGTTGTCAAGCCGAAAAATGCGCGCAAAAAATGTTTATAACGAGCTCAATGAGAAGATGTTTTGTAGCCACTGCAATGAAAAATATCATATTTCCACTTCTTGATGTTAGGAATGTTATGTCATACCAATAAATAATTTTAAAAATATGTTTATATATCCTATTTATTTAATCTTATCAAATTAAAGCCAGTATTTAATATTATTATTAATCTGGGCGGAAACAAGAGTATATAAAAGGAAAAAAATTTGGAATTATTGTCTTTTTTTGTTCTTTAATAAGTTATTTTAGCCGCAGTTTACGTAATAATTATTTAATTAAATCAAGTACGCATGTTTAAGTGTGTGCATTTATCTACAGCTTTTTGAAACCATTTAAAAAGAAATATATAGCTTGAAACTTACATTGCGTCTCTTTATGTTTCATTATCTGACTGGCAAATAAAATAATGTTTAAACCTACAATCGTAATCACGCATCCCCCTGTAATCTAGGACAACGCATGCATCGGAATTGTTGGGCTCACCCTGCGCCCACTTTAAAACGGTTACAGGCTTCCCGGAGGCCGTAGATATGAACTCGCCATCTTCCTTCATGATGCCAGTCCAGTACACTCATAAAAATAATTTTCTACATTTTAGAAAATCGCCCTAAAAATTTTTCGCCTTTGAACTGAGAAAAATTTTCTATTTTTACGACAAATTTGCCATAAATTTAAGGCAGGTGACCATAAAAAAATATTTTTAGGGTTAATTTTTCTATTTTTCTAATATTTAGGGCGATTTTTTTCGATTTGCTTCGTTTTGACCTTTTCTAAATCCAACGGCGAATTGCCCTAATTTTTTTTCTAAAATTTTTCTAAATACAAGGGCGATTCGCCTTAAAAATCACTCCAAAAGTGTGAAATTCGGTAGCCCAGCGGTCTAATCACTTGCGCTTTCAACTTTGCTATATGAGGACTAAGGTCGTGGGGTTGTGGGTTCGAACCCTGTGTGATTCAACTTGATTTTTATGTTTTTTTTTTTGTAAACATTATTATACTGAGGACATTTTTTCGTCCGAATTTAAAATTAAAGTAGTCTTTAAACCTTAAAAACGTATGGGAGTTCTGAGTCAAAAGCATACTTTGTGTTTGCGGGCAAGAAAACGGGACTAATTGTCACAGTCGTCAGGAAAAAAAATATACGGTTTAGTTGCCTTTAGTCATATTATAACGTAGACCTCAAGAAAATAAGATGTGTGCAGAGTTTGTTCGTCGTCTTGCGCGAGGGGTCTGTGGTGCAGCGGTAGGACGTTAGACTCTAAACCGAGAGGTCGTGGGTTCGATTCTCGCAATGACCAAAAAAAGTAAGTTGTTTTTTCTCCTCATATTTATTTCCCTAATTCATTTACAAACATGATTTTTCAGTTCTAACGGCTGTGCTGTATAGATCGGGCCCCCCTCTTAACGCGGCTCCCATATAAGCTACACACCAATACAATAATATGAAACGGTGTCCTCCGCCGATGTTGTTTAATTAAAGCAGTCCCAGTTCCCAGAATATAGACGATTAAAAAAAAAACATGCTTCCCAAATTCAGTTAAGCATGCTCAAACACGTTTTTTTTTAATTTGTCTAATTTTTTAGGGCATTCGCCTATAAAAACAGAAAATTCGCCCTTAATTTTAGAAAAATACACCCTAAAATTAGGGCAAATCACCCTAAAAACAGGAAAATATTTCTTATTTCAAGAAAAATCACCCTAAATTAAACCAAATTTCCATCGGGATTTTTTAGAAAATTTTTCTAAATACACGGGCGAATCGCCAGCGGATACGATTTATGGGCGATTTTCTAAATCCACGGGCGAAAAGTCAGTTTTTTAGGGCGATTTAGGGTAAAAATTTCTATGAGTGTAGTAGTAATACCCTTTCTGAAGTTTCGGAATTATGGCTTCGAGTTCCTCTTGGCTTTCGAAAGCCGCCAAATGGGCGCCCATTCTACGACATGTTTTTGAAGCCTCATCCCAGGATTTAGTATCATGTTTGATATAAAAATATCTAGAGCCGATTAGCTCGAACCGAGGATCGATGGTTTTGGATTTGATTGTGGTATGTGCTTCGACAAGATGATGGTTTTCAGTTGTATTTTGAAGCACCTCAGGTTGGTCTTCTATTTTTGTCTCAGTCATCGGCAGTTGTCCCTCGGTTCTGTTTAGATTCGTCTCAGAAGAGTGAGGCTCAGGGGTTGTTTTCTGGTCCTCTAGCACTTTCTTTAACGCCAGAAGTTGGGCATTCATTTGGGTTTGCATGGATGTCTGCTGATCTGTCATTTTGGTGAGGAGCAACTGAAATTGGTTCTTCATATCGGAACTTATTTTCATAAGTTTTTTTTCCCTTTCGTTCAGTCGCGCCTCGAAGTGTTCTTTTGCAATGGCCTGATCTTCCAGCTTTTCTTGAATCGCCAGAAGTTGGGCATCCAGTTTGGTTTGGGACTGCTGCTCGCGGTGGAGCCTTTCCAATTTGGTATTGTTCTCGGTGATCAAATCCATCATCGGTTGCAGTTTGGCAAGGCAGAAGTCTCCACAATAAATGGGAGCATCCTGCAGCAGTCGACCGGAGTGCCCTTCTTGCAGATTCAGGATAATAAAGGCCAACACAGAAAAGGATGCCAGCCTAAGCATTTTGAATAATTAGGTACGCTCGAAGGGAACTTTTAACTCGTACTGGAAACAAGCTGCCTTCTCAAAAATTAGGAAACCTAAAGTATTGCTGATAAGCGGACGTAGCCTTCCGAAAACTACGTGGACCAATGTCGAGCAAAACATGCAAGATAAGGCATTTTGATAGAGGGACTTTTAATTTTTGAATTTGACATAATACATTTTCTTAATCAGTGTAGACGTATTTTTTTTGCAAATTTGACAAAATCACCATTGAAATACTCGAATACTCAAAAGCCAACAGGTACCCAGTTGCAACGGAATCTTTGGGCCCATACGAAACTTGCCAAGCCATCCGATTTGTGTATATCCCAGGAAAAGCCACAACAGGCCAAACTTCTTAGTTGACAAGAAAACGGCGTTTGGGAAACCGCAAATGCTTCAAAGCTGAATTTTAGAAAACAAGCTTGCGATAAATTTGAGCAGATTACACTGGTCGGCGGATCAGAGGGCAAAGGATGTTTGCCCGGGCCCTGAAGGACCCTCTGACCCACCTGCTTTCATTTCATTTAAGCCATCAAATAGTTTGCCTTTTCGGCCAAAAGCCTTTCAATTTGTTGCCGTTGTTAACGGCTCGAGGCGAATGTTTGTGCCCCACAAAAAGGGAAGAAGAAAAGTCACGGAAAATGAGGGGGAAATTCCCATGTGTACTTTGTGTTGCAGACAAACTCTTAAGCTTAACAAAAAAAAAATAAATAAATACGTGTGTTTAAAACAAGACTAAAGTTGAGTAAAATAAAATCCTACACTCCCAAACAGATATGGTAAATCAAAGGAACTGCCTGTTGGTGTTTTTAAATATTTACCGAAATAAAAACAAGCCAACAGCGGAGGAAACTTTATTAATTGCCAGCAAGTTTTCAACTCGTCTTTGGAATTTTCAGTTTGTTTAGGTAATTAAAATTATGACCGTGTGTCTGTGCGCCTCAAATTGTTCTTTACTTTTGATTTATATTTATACCATTTTGTGTTGCCGTTGTAGTTCTCTTTTTCCCCGGTTAGTTTCGTTTAACAACAGCAATTAAAGTGGGTTTTATGTAATCCCCCATCCAAATTTAGCATGGAAATGGAAACTTCGCGTCTGAGGGCTTAATTCATTCCGTTTTTGTGATTCTGGCTGTCAGATCCGACTTACATAAGACGCAGCTCGGACCCCAAGCAGGGCATCTGGCCAAAAAAAGCAAGCCAAGCAAAGCAAAGCGAAAGCATTTGGCCACTCGAGCAGCTGAGCAGCCCAGCATATGTGACTGTGCTCTGGATTGACACAATTGTCGACCAATGTCAATGCCTTCGAGTTTACGCACAGTGGTTTGAAGTCGGCAAAAAGCGGGCTAAAAAAAATCATGTTTAATTTCAAGTTAAGAAAAAAAATGTAAGCATAGCTGAAAAATATATGTAAATTAAATTCTGCTCAACAGTGTATCCTGGGTAGGCTTTGAACTCGAATCTACCGTACTATTGATCCTACTTTTGTGGTTGGTAAACCATAAATATAATCATAGAAACTACAAACTTTATGGTTATAAATATAAAATGATATCTTTGGGCTAAACAAAATTTAATATTTTACAATTAAACCTAAATATTAAGCATAAGTGGTACAAATTTGTAAAATTTTTTTAATTGATATATCGTTTTTTTGCCCATTGATGCTACTGAAGTTATTAGTAAATTATAATTATGAAGTTAACAACCATTTGATATTAAATTTTTTTTTTTGTATATCTAATTAAATATAATATTTTTAGGGAAGTCTCTAATTTAAAATCAGTGTGCCTCTTTTGTAATCCTGCCGCTTGGATTGTCCCGTTCTCGTTCCCATTCTCGTCCTCGGCCTCTCCCCGTCCCTTTCTCTCCGCCACCGCCCACTGCGCAGGCGTTTCGCCCTCTCTTTCTCTCCACCGGCTTTGTTTGTGTTTGTATTTGAGTTCCGCTCAAATGAACTCACTCAACTTTTCGCAGCTCTCTCGCTCTCACTCGCTGGTACTTGTTCTGCTCCTTCACCGTTATTTGCATCGTGCGTTGCCCTTGTAACGGCTGTTTCCTCAGTTCCAGCTGCTCTTGCACTAAGAGAAAATATTTCCAGAGTCCATTAGCAGAGGCAAATCCAGAGGAAAATGTGTTTGGCTATTTGAATACCACATTTCCTTTATCCCCCAAATCTAACCACCGAGATTCCGCGCTTAAGGGTATATTTTTATCCCTAAACTCCAAAAGATCCCCTTTATTGTCGTTTTGTTAGCAAAAATATAAATAATTGAATTATTATAATACTTTCACCCTAAAGAAGTCCAATTGTTTCTAAAAGTCCTGTCTCTCCATATTAGTATATTTTTTCAGTGTTCCTGTTGCTGTTGCTTTTATGTAATTACACAGAGAAGGGAGCCATTCTCCCTCTTACCTTTTTTTTTTGGCATTTTGACCCCATTCGACTGCCGCTTACCTTTTTGTAATTCGTGTATTTTTGTTTTTGCTCCACCGGCAAACTTGAAGCATCCATAAATTGTAATTAAAGCAAAATAGAATCCTCGGGAAGGGCGGCTGAAAATGGGGTTGGCGCCAAATTTCTGCTAGGCGTGACATCATTAAAAAACAAGTTGCAACAAACTTTTAATTAGATTACTCAACGCCAACGTCAGCTGTTGCATGTGTTTTTCACTTCTTGCCATCCTATACATCTATTTTTTTTTCCTCTTCGGTTAATTCTAAAAGGGGGCATGGCTCCCATTTCCTTTATCCCACATGCACATGGTCATACCTTGGAGAACTTTTGCTTCGACTTCCACTTGTCTGGCTGGCGAAAGTTTTCGAGCTCTGTTTTCCAAACTTTAAAATTGCTGTCATCACAGCAGGATATATTGGACGGCGGACAGAAATCTGCCGACTGCGACACTCGATAGCCGGAAAATCAACTATTAGGGCTTTAAAATTGTAATTAAAACTTAGGTAGAAAGTTTTCATTAAGTTCGCGTAATGCAAGGCAACTTTACGCAATTGAAAAACAAAGGAGTACCTGTTTGGCACACAAGCCTCGAATCAAAAACCGAAATTCGGGACTAACGGATTAACGAATAACTCGGGCGCATTTAGCGATATTCTTACTCCAAAATGGGGTCCCATAATAAGGGTGGGTGCCACAGAAATAGTTACTTTTTTGTAGTCTCTTCTAAAAGGGAAAATATGTGCCTAAAAGTATGCTGTGAATATAGGAAAATCGTCTTCCTGTATAAACTCACATCATTTTTGATTAAAAGCTTATTGGTGCATACTTTTAGACACCTATTTTGACATTTTAAAGTAAGTTCAAAATTAATTACAAGTGTTCCAAAAAGGTTTTAGCTACCTCTCATTCCCGTTTTTATGAGGAATAATTTTTAAAGCATATATATATTTTACTGTAATGCTTATAAAAGTTTATGTACCAATGATGGAAAACAACTAAGTTATAAGGATCCAACGAACGATGACACAAGCATTCAAATCGAAAGGCGTTCGAAGTAAAAATATAAAGTTGTGCGAAATATTGCGCAAGCTTTGAGGGTCCATAACGAAATGTGGGTTGTCTGGCGTCAGTGCGAGTGGAATGTGGCATAAATTCTCTCTATTCGCCCGTCTATTTCGCCATTTTCCAGCTGCTGTCAACCAGCCAGCGTTCCTTTGGGGCAAAAGACATTGGAGAAGGTGGAAAATGTGGGAAACTGGTTGGAAATGCGGGGTGGAAATTTGGAGTGGGGCGGCGAGAGGGTAAATTGAATGCTACAGCGAAAGCGGATGCCATTTTTATTATTTCTCTTTTTTTCGCTTGCCCCTTGGGCGGGAATCAACAGTTTGATTGCTACACTCGCATTCTATCACTCACACAAATACCCACACTCGGATAACCGCCCTCACAGATACTCACGAACACACAGAGACACGCATTCTATTCGCTTAGAGCAACATTTTAGTTCGTTAGCAACGAAGTTTAATGGGCGACACTTTGGCCACAAATTAAATCAATTCATTTTTGCCATTCAATAACTCGAGAAACGAATTCATTCACATGGCTGATTGAAGAGCGATTGTTGAATTACTCAGCCACGGAATATGGTTGAGCTAAGTGCAATCAATCAGCTTGGGATTGAATCAGTTGTGCGGGTATTCGATTGATCCATCAATCGTTTAACTAAGTAAGTAATCACGCGGTTTCTGGAATTTAACAACAGGTGTATTATTAAAAAAATTAAAAAGAAAAATAATAAATTATTTAGCTATTAATTTTTAAACTAATATTACAGAATTCTATGCCATTAATTTCACATAAATTAAGAATTTAACATTTAATTAGAAATACATTTAAGAACTCAATTTTAAACCAAAATTTAAATCCCATCAATTTTAAAACCCAGTAAAACGCGAAATCTGAAACAATTTAAATATAACTCAGTTTCAGCTAACTTGGGTTCGAATAAACTCGCATTTCATTCAATTATCTGTGATCAAGCAAATTTGCCAGCTAAAAGTATATCAAATTTCCCTGGCTGCCTTCATATCACCCAACTTGGGTGGCAAAAAGGTCACTTTTCCTGGTAGGTAACATTTGCGTTGGCTGAAATAGGAAAATAAGGCGTATTTCCTGCGCGAAGCTCTTTAAAAATTTAAAAAGAAAATGTGCCAGGACCTTTTTTTTTGTTAATATTATATATTATAGTGTTTTTGTTATCGCTGCTTTCCTTTTTTGTACCTTATTCAGCCCATGGAAACCCGAAGAAGCAGACTGACAGTCAGACGGGCAATATTGATATCTGTTAGTCATGCAAGGCGGTGGGCGGATGGGGCGTGGCAGGGTCAGGGGGCGGGTCCCAGACAACAGCTCTTAAAGGGAACAAAACAAAAAAAAAATAAAGGAAAAGAAAAGAAAGGCTGGGAAAATAAAAGAAAGCAATGTAGCAAAGGCAGAATGCTAAAAGGTAAAGTGCAAT